CTCAGCCTCCCAAGTAGCTGGGACCACAAGGCACACGCCACAATGCCCGGCTGTTTTTTGGTTGCAGCCATCATTGTTGTTTTGGCAGGCCAGGGCTGGATTCGAACCCGCCACCTTAGGTGTATGTGGCTGGCGCCTTAGCCACTTGAGCCACAGGCACTGAGCCTCTCATTCCTTTCTTCCCACTCCCATCCCTGGCTCCTAGCAGTGTTTTATTTATATAAGGCCTCAATAGTTATAGATAAATGGGGCCAGGCACAGTGGCTCACGCCTATAATCCTAACACTGTGGGAGGCCAAGGCAGGTAGATTGTCTGAGCTCAGGAGTTTGAGATTAGCCTGAGCAAGAGTGAGACCCCCGTCTCAAAAAACAGCTGGGCATTGTAGCGGGCACCTGTAGTCCCAGTTACTCAGGGAATGCTGGGGCAACAGGATCAGATCCTGAGCCCAAAAGTCTGAGTTGCTTTGAGCTCACAGCATTCTACTGAGGGCAACAAAGGAAGACTGTCTCAAATAATAATAATAACTATTATTATTATAGATGAACTGAATGGAAAAGCTGAAATCCAGAGAGACTGACTTTCCTAAAGTCATAGAGCTTGTTTAGATGAAAATCTAGAATTTAAGCCTAACAATTTCCGGCTCAGGCTGTTTTCTCTAGGCTGCCTTGTTTATTCAAGGCATTTAGAGAAAGGGGAACAAACTAGTTAGAAGCAGAAAATTAGAGTTAGTGGTTCCTGTGGTAAAGAGGTCAGGGATAGTCTCAGAAAGTTCGGCTAGTGTAGGAAGTTATGAATGTGAAATGGCTCAAAGTGAAACAGAAAGTAAGTTGTGTGATCTCTATACTTGTCGGGATTTTGCTTTTCCAGAGTTGGGTTTGAACGGAATGTTCCCTGGACGAGAGCCCAGAAATCGCCAACATTTCAAACAACCCTTTCTGAACCTTATACTCTCTTCCATATTTTATAACAGGACCCCCACCATGGAAAATATAATGGAAGATCCCCCCACATCAGCTGTCTTGCTGGAACACTGTCATTTCTCTCAGGTCATCTTTAACAATGTGGAAAAGTTCTACGTCCCTGGAGGGGACATCACATGCTATTACACCCTCACCCAGCATTTCATCCCCCGACGAAAGGATTGGATTGGCATCTTTAGAGTAAGTGGCTAATTGATTACCAGGTGATCTGGGAGCTAGAGGTGAATCTTAGTTGCCTCAGTGTGTGACCCTCTGGGTGTATTAGAAGCATTTCGTGCTTAGTATATTATGTGTGGCCAACTTCAAAATCTTAAACTAAGCTCCCTTGCCCTTTGCTCTTAACTCACCAGTGTGTGCTGGGGGACTCAAATGTTAGTCTCAAGTAAAATAAGATATCAAATCATATTGCCCCCAAGTTTTATTATGCTTTTGAAGACCAAACAGAAATGATTTTTTCCTTCCTTTTTTTTTTTTCCACATGTAAGGAATTTGTTCAGAGGGAGCCACAAGTTTAGTGCCCCTTGTCACCGTGACCTCAGATTCCTGTTGGGTGTGTTATAAACAGAGGAGTCGTTCTTCAGGCCCCCTGCTCTGAGTACACCACTCTGGCTTAACTTCTAAGTAACAAAATTATGAAAGCATTTCTAGAAATGCTTTTAAAATGATCCTATTTTGGGCTTGGTGCCCGTAGTAGTGTAGTTATAGCACCAGCCACATACACCAAGACTGGCAGGTTTAAACTCAGCCCAGGCCAGATAAACAGCAATGATAACTGCAACAAAAATAGCTGGGCATTGTGGTGGGCGCCTGTAGTCCCAGCTACTTGGGAGGCTGAGGCAAGAGAATTGCTTAAGCCTGAGTAGTAACGCCATGGCACTCTACCAAGGGCGACAAATTAAGACTCTGTCTCAAAAAAAAAAGATCCTATGGCTCGGCGCCTATAGCTCAACCGGCTAAGGCGCCAGCCACGTACACCTAAGGTGGCGGGTTCGAATCCCCACCACGCACCCCAAAAACAACAATAACCGCTGCAACCAAAAAAATAGCCGGGCGTTGTGGCGGGCGCCTGTGGTCCCAGCTACTTCGGAGGCGGAGGCAGGAGACTCGCTTGAGCCCAGGAGTTGGAGGTTGCTGTGAGCTGTAATGCCACGGCACGCTACCCAGGGGGAGAGCTTGAGGCTCTGTCTCAAAAAAAAAAAAAAAAAAAAAAAAAAGATCCTATTTTGGAATATTTATATGTGACTTGCCTGAAATCGGTGACCCCTTATGTAATTCTTATGATATTAAATATTGCTTCTTTACTTGGTGCAGTGTTTACTTTGTTTTAATACGAATATCACAAATCTAGAAAGAATGTTGAGAAGTTATCTGGTCTGACATCCACATCCAAAAAATTTATTCCTGAACAAGTGCATCTCACACTACTTTGGAAAGATTTCCAAGGATAGAAAGTTTATGATGAGCTCCCTCAGTGACCTCTTCCAGTGTCTAATCATCCTGTCAGTTCAAGTACAGAAATGGTATTTTAAAATTTTAATTAATTTATTCACCATGTCCCCTCCCCCCTCCTATCTGTGTCTCTCCCTCTTACTCATCTCTCCCATCCATAATGACAAATCATCTTATTTCCAAAGACAGGAAATAAAGGTCAAATTGAAGTAATTTACGCTGGTGAGTCCCAATGTCAGTGACCTTTGGTTTGCCAACTCAATATGTCTGGTGCCTGTTTGCCAAAGCTGTTCATCCTAAAACCAGACACCAGTGACTGCACTGTGAAGGCACTTTGCTTATTTACATCCCTTGTTGAATTTCACATCCCTTAATTGTTTGGAATATCAAGCTTATTGATGGAGGAATAGAAGCTGGAAGTAATGAGACTGTGGAGGGAGGGATAGTGGACAACCCATAGGACACTGCTAGGGGTCATGACAGCTCCCAGCACTGCAGGATATTGAATCATCCAGCGAAAGGGTGTTTTAACAAAGACAACTCACACACCCAGAATGTTTTCTACTTGAGAAGCAGATAGTAATTGTTTTTCTTCTTCTCCATATGTGGCAAAACGTACAGATCATCGTTGCCCAGTAGAATTTTCTGCTGTGGAGGTGTGTATACGGTTGCTGTCCAGAACAGAAACAGCTAGCCACATGCGGCTATTAAGCACTTAAAATGTGTCTACTGTGACTAACTGGATTTTAAGTTGTATTTAATTAATTTAAATAGCCTGATGTGGCTAATGGCTATCATATTAGACAGTGCAGATATAGGTAATTAAAAAAGAGAATGACTCAAAAATTACTAGGCTTTGAAATGTGTTTTGTAAATTTTTTTTTTTTTTGGAACACTGTTATGTTCTTGTTTTGTTTAGACCGTTTGTGTTAGGAACCGGTCACTTAGGAACCGCCAGTGAGGTCTTCACCATAAACCAAATGAAAATCTCATACTTTTCTCTGCCAGACTACAAAGAGTTGGTTTAAAAAAAAAAAAAAAAAAAACTCATGCTTTTAAAAACTCCATGTTTAAAAGCATTTAAAAAAAAAAAAAAGCATCTGCCTTTGGAATGCTTCATGTATTTCAGAGGTATTACCAAACCCCAATAATGAAATAATGGTTTACCAAAAAAAAAAAAAAGGCCTCCAATGTTCATTGTCCATAAAGCTATTGACTTGAACACCAGTCCTGAAGACGTACTATGTGCTAAGCCTTTGTCGAGATTGTGTGTGTGTGTGTGTGTGTGTGTTTTCTAATTTTAATTCTCACAACACAACAGCCCCTGAAGTGGGGAGTAATATCTCTTGTGCACAAGTGAGTAAAATGAGTATCTTTGAGAAATGGTGACTTTCTCAAGGTCTCACACTAAGTAAGTGGTAAAGCAAGTTTGTTTGACTCCCAAACCTCTGCTTTTTCTCCTCTGTTCTCCCGAATTCATTTGAACAACAGATGGTAAATTAGAGAATGAATAGTTGGCTGGAAAGTTTTACCCTTCATATCTCACTTCTAAAGCTCTCCCCAGTGTTCTTTCAGTGTAGCCTTAATCAGACGATCCTTCAACTCCTCATCTCCCCTAATACTGATAATTCCTGGCACCAAATAGGTACTCAGTAAATGTTTTTTAATGCATGCAATATGTTACCCGTTCTCAATATTGTGAAAGCTGCCACCAGTGATGGCGCCTAAAGCAGGTAGGAGTCAGCTTTCCTTCCTTCAGTGTATAATCCTGTGCTCTGTACTCTTGACCTGGGTGTTTAAAATGTTTCTAAGGTAGCCTGGGACTAGGACTACCCTAGTGAAGGAGCCAAGGACAGAAATTGCAAGTGGCTGCTAAAAGTAGTTTCCTCGTTCTAAGACAGCAGTAATTCTTAGGCCTTCCCAGTCACGGCGCATTAAGAAACTCCAGGATGTGAATGAGAACTCCATAAAACTCCTGCTTCCTGGACCACCGCAGGCTGCCGTGGCTCAGAGATACTTATGGCACTGGGGTGTGTATTAATGAGACTCTAAAATGTGCCCCAGGATGTTCTGATGAGGTTTTGGTGTAGCCTTTTCAACCCTGTTCTGATTCCTTAATATATAAAAAAGGAGTTTATTTATAGTTCTTTGTCATCCCACTGGGCACAGGCAGGGTCAAAATATGGCAGTAAATGTAATTTTCCTTCTCATTTGCTGAGTGTTGTCCCCTTGAAGATACAATGGCTTCCTTTCTATTCTCTGGTGTGCTTTTATCTTCCACATAAGATTTGAGCAATCTTTTACCCCCTTCACATTTAGTGAGAATATTTTCCACTTAGCCAGCTTTCTGCTCTGAGGCATATTTTGCTGTAGCCGTACGTCTTATGATTTATTGCATTCAATACCTAGAAGAGGTCTTTATGACTACCAGATTGTTGTTCATATTTTTATCACCAAAAAGCCTTCATTAAGCAAAACACTAAAGAAAGGAAACTAGATAGACCTGGACTCTCGTATCAGTTGCCTTGTAATGTAAGAACCCTCTTGTCCCTCTGCCCCAACACACACATTATTCAAAAGGACGCATATTTTAAATGCAGTGGAATAGCCAGGTTGGCCTATGACAAGGCTGAATTAGGCAGAGTAGAGGAGAAACTACTGGAAAAGGCAAGTCAGAAGAGTTTTCTGATTTAGAAGTTCTGAGAACATCAGTGTAAGAGGATCCGGGTTCACCTTTTACCCCCTATCTCTCTCATCTCTATGTATGATATATTTTATGGAGATATAATTTTTGGAGTTTTTGTCCTGTGTGTTGAAGAGCCAGTTCTCAGTTCCGTATAGGACTGGTATTTTGAACTGTGTATTTGCCCCCCAGTTTTTAGCTATGACAGTCATTTTCTCATATCTAGTTGTCATAAGTCAAAAAACAAAATTTGAATGGGCCGGACTCAGTGGCTGATGCCTGTAATCCTAGCAGTCTGGGAGGCCAAGGCGGGTAGATTGCCTGAGCTCACAGGTTCAAGACCAGCCTGAGCCAGAGCAAGTCCTCTAAAAATAGGTGGGCATTGTGGTGGGTGCCTGTAGTCCCAGCTACCCGGGAGGTTGAGGCAAAAGAATCACTTTAACCCAAGAGATTGAGGTTGCTGTGAGCTGTGATGCTATAGTACTCTACTGAGGGTGAGAAAGTGACACTGTTCCCCCTGAAGCAAACAAGATTTGAGCCCTGAGGTGCAAATCTTGTTACAATGAACTCATTCTATTGTATCATCAACACATACATGTAAAAAGTAAGTGCATTTTAAGAAGATTTAACCCAAATAAAGATTTTCCCCTAAACCCTTTCAGGTACTAAATGCGACCCTCTTGTCACTGTAGGTGGGATGGAAGACAACCCGTGAGTATTACACCTTCATGTGGGTTACTTTGCCTGTTGACATGAACAACGAATCAGCCAAACAGGAAGTCCAGTTCAAAGGTGAGAAAAATACAGATCAAGGATGTCAAAGACATCCAAGACTAATTTTCCCTCAAGCTAGAGCTTTCTTTTTCTTTTTCTTCTTTCTTTGAGACAGGGTCTCACTCCGTTACCCTAGGCTAGAGTGCCCTCGCATCAGCCTAGCTCACTACAACCTCAAACTCGTGGGCTCAAATGATCCTCCAGCCTCTTAAGTAGTTGGGACTATAGGCATCCACCCCAATGCCTGGCTAATTTTTTAATTTTTGATAGAAATGGGGTCTCACTCTTGTTCAGGCTTCTCTAGAACTCTTGAGCTCATGGGATCCTAACTCCTCTGCCTCACAGAGTGCTAGGAGTATAGGTGTGAGCCACTGCACCCAGCCAAGCTAGAGTTTTCCAAGGTAGATAAGAAGACTTCCCAAATTTCACTTACATAAATAGACCTTATCTTGGGCTCGGTAACTGTAGCACAGTGGCTAGGGCATCAGCCACATACACCAAGAGTGGTGGGTTCGAACCCAGCCCGGGCCAGCTAACCAACAATGACAGCTGCAACAAAAAAATAGCCAGGCATGTGGCAGGCACCTATAGTCCCAGCTACCTGGGAGGCTGAGGCAAGAGAACCGCTTAAGCCCAGGAGTTTGAGGTTGCTGTGAGCTGTGATGCCACGGCACTCTACCAAGGGTGACATAGTAAGACTCTGTCTCAAAAAAAAAAAAGACCTTATTTTGGATTAAAAATAATGTTGTGTTTTCAGCTTACTACCTGCCTAAGGATGATGAGTATTACCAGTTCTGCTATGTGGATCAAGATGGAGTAGTC